CCACTGTATCAATCCATTTCATTGAGGATCTTCCCTTTTTTCACTGACCCTCTACTTTACCTTGAATGATATCCTTCTCCAGGGCCTACTTTTCATTCTTCTAGCAGTTCATGGATCTTCAGTGTTCTTCATCAATATGAGTTCAAATGCATCAATTCTTCTTCAGTCTACCTTATTCATTACTCATTTTTCACATGCATATGAGGCTATTGAAAATACCATGGCTTGAGTCATGCACACTTTAGTCTTCAGAGTGATGTATTTGCTCTCTAACGCTTTAGAGAAGTCTTTTGCAGAAGATTTGGCCAATGCAATATTTCATATGGTTTCTTACCTTTTGCTTCCATGGCATCAGTTGTTGTGAATCCAAGTAAAATGAAATCCTTGACAACTTCAATCTTTTCTCCATTTATCATTACCTTCATTGGTCCAGTTGTGAAGACTTTTTTCTTTATGTTGAAGTATTACATACTTTGATCTTCATCAGTAAGTACTTCAAGTCTTCTTCCAATTGTAATACCACATTCTTATTCATATAGTCCAGCTTCTCAGATTATTTGCTCAGCATACAGATTGAATAAGTATGGCAGAGGACAACCCTGATTCACACCCTTCCTGATTTTAAACCATGCAATAGCCCCTTGTTCTGTTCAAATGGATGTCTCTTGGTCCATGTCTAGGTTCCTTATGAGCACAATTTGGTGTTCTGGAATTCCCATTCTTCACAATGTTATCCATAATTTGTTTTGATCCACACAGTTGAATGTCTTTGCATAATTAATAAAACACAGGTAAACAGCTTTCTGGTGTTCTTTGTTTTCAGCCATGATCTGACACTAGCAATGATAGCCCTTATTTCACACCCTCTTCTGAATCTAGCTTGAATTTCTGACAATTCCCTGTTGACGTACTACTGTTACCACTTTTGAATTATATTAAGCAAAATTTTGCTTGTACGTGATAATAATGGTATGGTTTGATAATTTTCCTATTTTCTTCTATCAGTTTTCTTCAGAATGGGCACAAATATAAATCCCTTCCAGTCAGTTAGTTGGTCAGGCTATCTTCCAAAATTTTTGTATAAATGCCTCCAGCAGTGCATCATTTGTTGAAACATCTTAATGGGTATTCTATCAATTCCTGAACGCTTGTTTTTCAGCAATTCCTTCAGTGCAGCTTGAACTTCTTTTTTCGGTACCATTAGTTCTTGATCATATGCTTCATCCCGAAGTGGCTGAACATCAACCAATTCTTTTTGTTATGGTGATTGTATTCCTTCCATCTTCTTTTGTTGTTTCCTGCATCATTCAATATTTTGCCCATAGAATCCTACAATATTGCAATTCAAGGCTTGAGTTATTTCTTTAGTTCTTCTAGCTTGAGAAATGCTGAGTGTGTTCTTCTCCTTTGATTGTCCAATTCCAGGTCTTTGCACTTTTCCTTATAATACTTTACTTTGTCCTCTTGAGCTGACCTTTGAAATATTCTGTTTACCTCTTTTACGTCATCATTTCTTTCATTCACTTTAGCTACTCTCTATTCAAGAGCAAGTTTCAGAGTCTCTTTCTACATATTACTTTCCTGCCTTTTTAATGACCTTTTGCTTTCTTCATGTATGTTCTTGATGTCATCCCACCTCTTCTGGTCTTCGGTCACTGGTATTCAGTGCATCAAATCTATTCTTCAGATGGTCTCCAAATTCATTTGGGCTATACTCAAGGTCGTATTTTCGCTCTGGTGGACTTGTTTTAATTTTCTTCAGTTTCAATTTAAACTTTCAAAAGAGCAATTGATAGTCCTTTCCACAGTCCACCCCTGGCCTTTTTGTAACTGATGATATTGAGCTTCTCCATCATCTCTTTCCACAGATGTAATTGGTTTGATTCCTGTGTATTCTATCTGGAGAAATCTATATGCACAGTCCCCATTTATGTTGTTTTAAAGAGGTATTTGCAGTGAATAAGTTGTTGGTCTTGAAGAATTGTACCACACCATCTCCAGTGTCCTTTCTATCACGAAGCCCATATTTTTTACCTACTTATGCTTCTTGTTTGTTTCCAACTTTCACATTCTACTCACCAGTAATTATCTTTATATCCTGATTGTTTCATCAATTTCAGATTGCAGGGGTAAAAATCTTCAATTTCTTTAGCTTTAGCTTTAGTGATTGGTGTGTAAGTTTGAACTATAGTCATATTGTTTTTCCATGTAGGCATATGTATATTATCATATCACTGACAGCATTGTACTTCAGGATAAATCTTGAAAGTTCTTTTTGGCAATGAATGTGACTCCATTCCTCTTTAATTTGTCATCCCAGCATAGTAGACCATCTGCTTATTTTATTCAAAATGTCCAATACCAGACCATTTCAGCTCACTAATGCCTAGGTTATTGATCTTTATGAGTTCCGTTTCATTTTTTACATTTCTAGTTCCTAGATTCATACTCTATATATTCCGTGTTCCAATTATTAATGGATGTATGCAGCTGTTTCTTCTCATTTTGAGTCATGCCACATCAGCAAATGATGGTCCCAAAAGCTTTACTCCATCCATGTCATTAAGATTGACTCTACTTTGAGGAGGTAGCACTTCTGCAGTCATATTTTGACTGCCTCCAGCCTGAGGAGCTCATCTTCTGGCACTATATCAGATGGTGTTTTCCTGATATTCATAAAATTTTCAGTGGCCAATTTTTTGAGAAGTAGACCTGGCCACATCCTTCTCCCTATCTTGTCTTTGTTTGGAAACACCACCAAAACCTCTCTACCTTGGGTGACCCTGTTGGTATTTGAAATACCAGTGGCATAGTTTCCAGCACCACAACAACATGCAAGACTCCACAGTAGGATAAAGTGACAGACTTATATATAATTTTAATCCTACATTAAACTTGGCATGAGACAAGTAAATTAACCACAATCATTTAAATTCATCTTTCCTAAATGATTTCTTATTTTAGAAATTGCTTTACCACTATTAAAGTCACCTCTTGGTTAACATGATTCATGACTTCATTGAAGAGCTTGATTCATTTTCTCAAAGTGAGCACTCAGATTTTGAAACAGAACATCCCTAGCATCCCAAAAGTCCCCATCGTGTCTCCTCCTAGTCACTGCCCCGTACATGTACACCCATGGATGTCATTGTATGAACCATTCAATACCATAAATTAATTTTGAACTACATGCAAGTGTAATCATATTGTGAGTGTACTCTTTTGTGTCTGGCATCTTTAACTTGACATTATTTTTTGAAGGATTCAGTCATACTTTTGTATAGTTGTGGGTTTTTTTTTAATAGTTGTAGATTTTTTGCTCTCATTGTTGTAACATATTCCACAGTGAGAATAAATCACTGTTTATCCATTTTACTATTGATGGACATTCATGTAGTTTAGGCCATAAAATCAGTCTTCAGTGAACATTCTAGTGCATATTTTTTGATAGATAAGATGTTTCTTGGTTTCTAAACTATTGCCTTTATTTTCATAAAAATCAGTTTTGTTTAGTCTCTTGAATTTATGATCAAAAATATAAAACTCAGTGCAATTATTACTTCATTTATACATTTTGGGATGCTCCATGTGATTTGTGTCACATGACTTACATATATTTATATACAAAAACATGAAGTAGATAGACCTTCACTTAACACTTCAATCTATTCTGTTGGTATATTTCTGGACAAAGATTACTGGAATATATGTATTCTGCTTTAGTAGAGAGGGCCAAATAATTTTCCAGAATGTGCTAATTTTTACACTGTTACTAACGGTGTCTGAGAGTTGCAGATCCTCCACATACTTTCTAATACTTGGTTCTGTCTGTTAGATGTGTAGTGGTATTGCACTGAAGTTTTAATTTTCATTTCTAATTTATTGCATGTTGACTAATAGAAATTAATCCTCTCAACAACAGAAGCTCAATTTTTATGTTAAGAGCTACTATAAAGAGACTTTCCTCTACTGCTCTTTTTCTAGGGAGACAACATATCCAGGTGGCTGCTCCCTACTGGCTATAATTCATGGTACTTTTTAGCCATATACAAAAGATACCTTACCACAAGGCCTCCTGCCATGTGACTAATTCAGATCTGGTCATCTAAAAGTGAATTTGCTTTGTATAAATATATTTAGCCCAAAGATGTTTCCTTGGTTTCTAAAGTATTTCCTTGATTTTTGTAAAAATCAGACTTATTTGCTACCTTGAATTTATAATAAAAAATGTAAAATTTAGTACAATTATTACTTCATTTATACATTTTGAGATGCTCCAGGTTATTTTTATTTGTATAGCTTATATATACACAAAAGCACAAGCAACAGTAGATAGAACTTCACTCAACTGAAATTTTTAAATAACAAATGAGCTATGGAACAGTTCCACTCTTATAACACGTGACGTTGTCATAAATCAGAACTGACTCAATGGCATTGAGTTTTTGGTTTAATGAGCTTTTAAGAAACTAATATTGTGAAAATAAGAATACTTAAAAATTTTATATTAAATTTACTTTATATTAAATTATACTTTAAAAATTATATTTAGTTAGCCATTAGGATCCATGGAGTCATGATTTATTTATACTAAAATCCTGAATGATTATGAAGTAGGCAAATGATCTTTATTGCTGTCATTTTGCCCTCTGCTATGGATGGTATTTATCTATATCCAGCTACTTCTCATCTCACAATGTAGTTCCTTCTACTTGTGTTGTCTCTGGTAGACTGGGAAAGGACTTAGCTATATTCAGCTACACAGAATGATGAAATAAGCACTTTATATTTTGCTTATCTTTTCCTTGATGGTACATTTATTGACATTGATTTGAAAGAAGCAAAATAAACTGCCTAATAGCAAACAGATACTTTAAAATGCAAAGGATTTGATGTCAAATATTACCAAGCAGGAACCCTACCTTCTCAGTACTATGGCAGTTAATACATTGTAAGGAGCTGGGAACATCCATGGCATATACCCACTTCTATTTTTACAGGTCCTGCACTGCTGTGTTTGTGGCTCAAGCACATACACCCAACAGAGTCACTACATACTGACCCTGGCTGACTTGTCATCCACGGAGTATGACCCTTTTTTGCCACTGGCAAATGTTAAGAATTCTGAGCCAGTCCGATATCCTTCATCAGTGGAACTGGGTAACCTGCTTACTGTGGAAGCAGGTGAGTACTCTTCAGAATATAAATTCTTACAAGCAGAATAAGGAAAGATTGTAGCCATATGTCCATGCTTGCTTTGTTATTAAAAAAAAAAAAAATCTAGTTGTTGAAATCCTGGTTTCCAGAATCCTTTATGATGATAAACTCTGCCTTCCTTTTTTCTTCTTTTCTACATGATTTCCTCCTTCTCTTTCTTTTCCCATCTTAGTAATCCAAAGATTTTTTTATTATTGAGAGTCTACCTAAGTCAGACCTCTGGAAACAAAAAAATACTCACTTCCTATCTCCAGGAAGCTTTATATCTAATGAGAGAGACAGAATTAATATAGAAGGACTAATTTTTGTACCTGTAGTGACATGGGAGCTTTCCAAGCCAGAATTAGAAGGGTGGGCGGGCTTTGAAAGGAGTTATTAGAGTATTCCAGACTAGCAGAGCATTGTGACAAGAGAGATGGGAATTGACATGCTACAATGTGAAGATTATTCTACTCTGAGCAGAAAGTTCATTTTTGGGTATGGTGGGTATTGTCAGGACTCTCCAGAATGACAACACCTATCTCTGGACCTTGAAATGAGCATCAAAATGTACATGTGTTGCACTTCTGGTAAGATGGAGGAATAGGCAGATAAGCTACACAGACCCTCTTCAACAAAGAAAAGAGAAACCAGTTGACAAGAGATAACAGAAGATAATCCCAGAACCCTGAGCTTTGAAAGGGATGCATACAGAAGTGGATTTGGCACCAACTAGTGGAAAAACCTCAATTAAAACAGTGAGTATGGAGATTGTTAGAGCAGTGGACTGTCAGCTACTCTGATGGGACCAACAGCCTGAATATTTACAGGTGATGTTGTAAGAACTGACTTAAAGATCAGCCCTGGTTGGCAAGGGCTGCAGGGACAACTGTGCTAGTGGCCTATGACTAAGAAGGGAAATAGCAAGGAGGGAGACAACCTGAGCTGTGGATTTTTGGCTGTCTGGCAGCCATTTTGATTGTTTACAAGCGGTGGCCATTTTGGATATTTAAAGTGACCAAGGATGCAGCAATTTTGAATGTTTACAATTTTTAGCTATATTGGATTTTAAAGTGACAAGATTCTCATTCAGATTCCAGGGACCTTAAGAATAGGCTCCATTTGCCAAGGACAGCAGGGACATATGGGAGGCTGACAATGGGAAAGGAGACAGGTGGTGAGTGTACAAGTGCTGCCAATTAGCAAAGAGAGGAGCAAAGTACCCTGCTTATGTAAATAACATCCAAACAAAACAAAACAAAACAAAATTGCAGGCAAGTCACTTCAACATACAATCACCAGTTAAATATAAACACAAAAAGGTCACAATGCCTCAGAAACAACAGAGCATCAAAGTCCACACAAAGAAGCAAGATAATCCAGGAGAAACAAGTGACCAGGATATAGACCCAAAACACATCCTTGAGGAAAAAGCAGCATTGGAAATCCCTGATAAGGAATTCAAAAGAATTGTATTTAGGTACCTTCAATGGATTGAGAGAAAGATCAAGGAAAACACTGACAAAATGGAGGAAAACAGAAAAAAAACCTACAACAATTGCAAAAGACAATACAAGAACAAAATGACAAAATAAATGAAAAATTAGAAATAATACAAAATCTACACACAGAAATCCAGAAGATTAATATTAAATTTTCAGAAATATATAACTCATTGAACGGGCCAAGGAGTAGAATTGAATCAATGGAAGAGAGAACTAGTGAGACAGAATACTTCTTTAGAAAGGGATCAATCAGAAAAAAAGATCAAAATGAAAAAAGCCCAAGGTTCATGTGGGATACCATCAAAAGGAACAACCTACATGTAATCGGAATTCCAGAACAGGAAGAGACAAATAAAACCACAGAGAAAATTGTCAGAGACTTGTTGGAAAAGAATTTCCTTGGTATGATGAAAGATGAGAACATATCCATTCAAGAAGTCCAGCAAACTCCAAACAGGATAGACCCCAAAAGAAAATCACCAAGATATATATCATCATCAAACTCACCCAAACCAAAGACAAAGAATCCTGAAAGCAGCACAGGAAAAACGAAAAGGGGCAACTGATAAGACTAAGCTCAGATTTCTTGGCAGAAACCATGCAGGTGAGAAGACAATGGGATGTTATGTATAAAACCTTGAAAGAGAAAAATTTCCAACCAAGAATTAATACACCCAGCAAAATTGTCTCTTAAATATGATAGTGAAATTAGGACATTTCCAGATAAGCAGAAATTAAGGGAATTTGTTAAAAACAGACTAACCTTACAAGAGATGCTAAAAGCAGTTCTTGAGACAGAGAACCAACAGCCACAAACAGCAACCAACCATTAACACACGTGATGACATAACCCAGAAACCAACCCAGGTATAGAAGTATCCAAAGTAAATGGGCCTACACGATTGTAAACAGTGAATCAGAGCCATCCATTGACAAATGAGGACAACTACAAACCAAAAAGAGGGTAAAAAAAAAAAAAGGTGTAGTTACAGAATTTCTAAACTGTAGGGAAGTCAAGACAACCACAAGATAGAATGGAGTGTTCTAAACTTGGGAAGAAAATTATAAATCACCTCAAAGAAAAATCATACACCTTCACATCAAAGTGAAAAAGAGGACCGGCACAAATATTTAGCAAATACTAAAACAATAGCAACAAGGGAAGTAATAATATGATTCATAAACAAAATGAGCTCAGCACAGAAAATTATATGGAACAAAGAAATCAGGAGCACCACGAAAAAGCACATAACAAAATGACAGAAACAAATTCATACTTGTTGATAATTACTTATCTGACAGGGACTTATCTCTAAAATTTGTAGAAAACTCTTAACACCTCAACAACAAAAAGATTAACAATCCAATTTAAAAATGGGTAGAAGACATGAATAGACACTTCACCAAAGAGGATATTCAGGTGACCAGCAAGAGATCACTAAAAAGAAAAGAAGAGAAGACCAAAGTGGATGACAGAAGAGACTCTGAACCTTGCCCTTGAG